ATTTGTTTATAACTATCGCATTTATTGTTAAAATTTTATAAAACCTATGACAAGTTAAGGATTTTGTCATACTTCAAAAGTGTGCCAAAAGTGGGCGCTGTAGGTGCAATAGTTTTCGCACAATTCTATTTGTTTATAGCGGAGGCTCCAAAAGTTATGAACTTTAAGCCCCAGTACAGACTTTAATTTTCAACCAAACATGATTCTGAAAGCGTCATTGTAATCTTAAAGACGTAATTAAGCTACCTATTAAAAAATATCATCATTTTTTAACATTAACATTCTCAAATTGTGCATTAAAAAACCGTGCGTGTTTCAGTTATAAACAATTTGAATAAAATTGTTGCTATTTATGCTACCTCACCGAAAATAGATGCAATGGATAGCTGGCAAAAAAATACAAATTTAAAAAAAAAACCTCTACGACCAACAGGAGCCAAGATAAGAATTTTTCTTTTAAAAATCGTAGCGCAATTGTTTATAAACATTAAGACTTGAATTTTTCGCAAAAAAAAGTTCAGGACGTGTACTACGATTTCCCGTAAATTGGAAAATTAACGACTCACGAGCCCTTTAAAGAGAAGGTACTTGATAAGTAAACTGTCCGGTGTGGTGGTGGGGGAAGCTCGTCCAAGCGAGTCGCGTAAGGTAGCATAAACAGTAACAATTTTATTCAAATTGTTTATAAACGAAAAACGCACGATTTTTTAATGCACAATTTGAGAATGTTAATGTCAAAAAAACGGTGATATTTTTTAATAGGTCGCTTAATTACGTCTTTATGATTACAATGACGCTTTCAGAACCATGTTTGGTTGAAAATTAACGCCTGTACAGAGGCTTAAGGTTCATAACTTTTGGAGCCTTCGTTATAAACAAATTGAATTGTGCGAAAACTATTGCACTTACAGCGTCCACTTTTGGCACACTTTTAAAGTATGACAAAATCCTCAACTTGTCACAGGTTTTATAAAATTTGAACAATAAATGCGATAGTTATAAACAAATTAAGAAATGGGCACTTTTCTTGTTTTTTTTGCAATACCTCTTTTGTTTATTAACCGATTTTAATTTAACAAGTCTCATTTTGTAGATAATTTTATTCCCTACAAGCTGTCTGTGAGTCACTTTTCGCTAAAATTGATGGTTTTCCCTGCAAAGTAAAAAAAATGTTTTCCTCACTACTTGTTTAAAAAGAAAAGTTAGCTAATAAAAATTTTTGACTCACGAGATGAGAGAAGTCTTGTATTATATTCCTTTAGACAATTTTACAATTATCTCGCAGATAGGACTTTTTTATAAACAAATTAAAAAATAGGCACTTTTCTTGTTTTTTTGGAATAACTTTTTTGTTTATTAAACCGATTTTAATTTAACAAGTCTAATTTTGTAGATAATTTTATTCCCTACAAGCTGTCTGTGAGTCACTTTTCGCTAAAATTGATGGTTTTCNCGAGCCCTTTAAAGAGAAGGTACTTGATAAGTAAACTGTCCGGTGTGGTGGTGGGGGAAGCTCGTCCAAGCGAGTCGCGTAAGGTAGCATAAACAGCAACAATTTTATTCAAATTGTTTATAAACGAAATACACACGGTTTTTTAATGCACAATTTGAGAATGTTAATGTCAAAAAACCGGTGATATTTTTTAATAGGTCACTTAATTACGTCTTTAAGATTACAATGACGCTTTCAGAATCAAGTTTGGCTGAAAATTAACGCCTGTACAGAGGCTTAAAGTTCATAACTTTTGGAGCCTTCGTTATAAACAAATTGAATTGTGCGAAAACTATTGCACATACAGCGCCCACTTTTGGCACACTTTAAAAGTATGATAAAACCCTCAATTTGTCATAGGTTTTATAAAATTTTGACAATAAATGCGATAGTTATAAACAAATTAAAAAATGGGCACTTGTTTTTTTGCAATAATTTTTTTGTTTATTAACCGATTTTAATTTAACAAGTCTCATTTTGTAGATAATTTTACTCCCTACAAGCTGTCTGTGAGTCACTTTTCGCTAAAATTGATGGTTTTCCCTGCAAAGTAAAAAAAAATGTTTTCCTCACTACTTGTTTAAAAAGAAAAGTTAGCTAATAAAATTTTTTGACTCACGAGACGAGAGACGTCTTGTATTATATTCCTTTAGACAATTTTACAATTATCTCGCGGATAGGACTTTTTTATAAACAAATTAAAAAATAGGCACTTTTCTTGTTTTTTTGCAATAACTTTTTTGTTTATTAAACCGATTTTAATTTAACAAGTCTAATTTTGTAGATAATTTTACTCCCTACAAGCAGTCTGAAAGTCACTTTTCGCTAAAATTGATGGTTTTCCCTGCAAAGTAAAAAAAATTTTTTCCTCACTTATTTGTATAAAAAGAAAAGTTAGTTATATTCCTTTAGACAATTTTACAATTATCTCGCGGATAGGACTTTTTTCGAATAAAAATTTTATTTGCTTGGCCTCGAAACGATATTTCTGATATTTTTTGAAACGTCGAATACGTCTTATCGTTTCTATTAACTTAATTAAATCTCAATTTTCAGTCTTTGATAAATCTCCTTCCCTCGCTTTTCGTATGGTTAATCTACATCGTGCCAAGTTACTCAATGTCCGGACTTTACATGCAAAGTTTGTACAATTACGACGGATTCTACATTTATATAGGTTCGTAAAACTCACGCTTTAATCCAATGACCACCCTTTCACGCTCTTTTTTATTTTTAGGTGTAATGTTAATCTATTTAAGTTGTATACAAATATTTATCATAGCATGCGTATACCTTCTGCCCTTAACTAATTTGGCAGCTGCAGTGTCCTCGACGATCATATGGGCATTTTTCCTAGCAGCCGGGTACGTTCTTCACTTGAAGGACCTGCCTTACTATTACAAATGGTTACAGTATGTCAGTCCGACTTCCTGGTTGATACCTTTTCTACTAAACCGAGAACTATCGCCGGAAGCGGTGCAGAGAAGTTCGGCGACGACGTTATGTCGCAATAAACAGGTATTTAATTTAAATACAATTTAAAACACAAAAAGGGATTTGTTGAAAGTTGTAAATGGTTTTGTGACAAGCGAGTTTTGCATTTAAATAATAATTTTTGGTAAAATATCAACCATGAAGACACACTTCTCTACTCTTAATTTTTACACTTGGGCAATAAATTGGCCAATATTGTTTTTTGTCCTATCACGTCAGGGGAATTGTTATAGGGTTCACCTAAATTTGATCAATATCAAAGGTCATTGACACTGAGATTCACAAACTAAACACAGTGCTTCATAGACATAGTAACAAATACTTTTTATGAAAAACATTAAATGATTTTGAAAAATATTTCAAATCTATGTTAATGTAACCCTCATTTCCTACAATTAGTACTCGACGTTGTTACAGTACAATTTTTCCATTTATGTCCTGTTAAATACGGACATATTTAATTATCAGTGTATAAAATTGGTTGTATTTTTTAGATTCAGCACCAAGATATCATCGTGCCTTGTCCACACCCGAACGGAACCAACGTACTGATCAACTACGGTTATTCCACGTCGGAGGGGTACGTATTCGACTACGGCAGTACCCCTTTGGCCATGGTCGCGTTCTACTTTATCTTTTTCATAGTGACATGCCTTGCGTTTGTTGTAAATTGTTGCAGAAGTAAAAAAAAGTCAAAACGTAAGGGCAGGAACGATGCCAATAAACCCTAGTTCTAGATAATAAATTATTTATCGGTAAGTGATTAATTCGATCCTGTTAATGTTTTAATTTTTATTTGTATTAGTGCCTTTTATATTGTATGTTATATTATTTAATTAAAGCGATCTTTTGTACATGTGTTGCTTTATTTGCGACGACTCCTGTAGATTTCATGTGTCGCACATGACATTATCCAATCAATCATACACATTGTGGCCCGTCAGCCGGCTGAATTTCCACATTTACATATATGTTTTTAACACTCCTGAATTATCAGAAAAATTACAGAAAGTTACATTTTAATTCCATTATGTGCCTTGATTTTGTAAGTCTTTCTCTCAAGTGACGTCACTGCATGCNTCAATTTCCACATTTACATATATGTTTTTAACAGTCCTGAATTATCAGAAAAATTACAGAAAGTTACTTTTTCATTCCATTATGTGCCATGATTTTGTAAGTTTCTCTAAAGTGACGTCACTACATGCACGTAGGTGCACGATATATTTACACTACGCGTCGGACCCATAAAATAAGACAGTTTTTATTTATCCAAATATTCAAATAAGATTTTATCGTCTAATTTGTGATAATACTGATTATTCACTCCATGGTTTCTTCCCATTTTACGTGGTGACCTCTAGCGGAAGGCATGGAATCATTGAATTTATAGAATTCTAGCCATAGACCTTATAAGCTTAAGATCTATGAGCCTACCTAAAAACTACAGAAATTGTACAGAGAAATTATTAACAGTTTTGCCATCTACCAGTCAGTCACGGAGACAAAAATTTCAAAGTAAAATCTTCATATTCGTTCCCCCATACCCTCCTTACCCCACCCCTCCCGCGCTAGCGTAAGGGCCACTTTAGCAAAGCGCATCCCAGGCTGCATAGCCGCACTGCCCTACCCAACCATACCACACATAAACATGACACAACCCCCGGGGTTTACACAGACGAGCCGGCGAAGCAAGAAGAGCGCCAGAAGAAAGGGCCCTAGCCGGCGGGGCCCAGCCAGGACAAAAGGAGGTCCCACAAAGCGTCTACACCGGCCGCATTTGCGGTCGGGGTAGACGACGGATGGGGCCCACCTACGAAGGCTGTCCAGGCCTACACGAGNAGATTCACAAACTAAACACAGTGCTACACTCATTTCGTACAATTAGTACTCGACATTGTTACAGTACAATTTTTCCATTTATGTCCTGTTAAATACGGACATATTTAAGTATCAGTATAAAAAATTGGTTGTATTTTTTAGATTCAGCACCAAGATATCATCGTACCTTGTCCACACCCGAACGGAACCAACGTACTGATCAACTACGGTTATTCCACGTCGGAGGGGTACGTATTCGACTACGGCAGTACCCCTTTGGCCATGGTCGCGTTCTACTTTATCTTTTTCATAGTGACATGCCTTGCGTTTGTTGTAAATTGTTGCAGAAGTAAAAAAAAGTCAAAACGTAAGGGCAGGAACGATGCCAATAAACCCTAGTTCTAGATAATAAATTATTTATCGGTAAGTGATTAATTCGATCCTGTTAATGTTTTAATTTTTATTTGTATTAGTGCCTTTTATATTGTATGTTATATTATTTAATTAAAGCGATCTTTTGTACATGTGTTGCTTTATTTGCGACGACTCCTGTAGATTTCATGTGTCGCACATGACATTATCCAATCAATCATACACATTGTGGCCCGTCAGCCGGCTGAATTTCCACATTTACATATATGTTTTTAACACTCCTGAATTATCAGAAAAATTACAGAAAGTTACATTTTAATTCCATTATGTGCCTTGATTTTGTAAGTCTTTCTCTCAAGTGACGTCACTGCATGCACGTATGTGCACGATATATTCACACTACGCGTCGGACCCAAAAAATAAGACAGTTTTTATTTATCCAAATTTTCAATTAATAATAATTTAATTGTAAGTGTATAAATTATAAAATTAGTTTTATGAGACGTTTTGTAAACGAAAAATCGTCTAATTTGTGATAATATGATTATTCACTCCATGGTTATTCCCATTTTCCGTGGTGACCTCTAGCGGAAGGCATGGAATCATTGAAATTATAGAATCCTAGCCATAGACCTTATAAACCTAAGATCTATGAGCCTACCTAAAAACTACATAAATTGTACAGAGAAATTATTAACAGTTTTGCCATCTACCAGTCAGTCACGGAGACTAATAAACAAAAATTTTAAACTAAAATCTTCATATTCGTTGCAGTTTAAGAAAACTACTTCATTAAAACACGCTGTTTATTTTCAAGCATAAAATTTTTATTCCAAGAGGTTTTCTTTTTATTTTGGTTTCCCAAGCCTACTTTGTATCAGTTTGATTCCATGTTTTACAATTTCACTACTTTTCTGTGGAAAGTACAATCTGTAATCATTTCTGTCTAATTCCACAAAAGGTTCGATAAACCAACCGTACCTAAAAGAATCTTATTTATTATTAGTGATTCAAATGAACTTCCGTTGAAACCATTGATTTGAGGTTTCGGGCCATTTTAATTTTTCTTTTGGTCCTCGGTCCTTTACTGCTTTGATTTTTTCTACGATGTCTGGATATTCCCCTTCGGCTTGTCCTTCATATTTTGAATAGAATTTGGATGTGACAGCAGTACCTGAAGAGATTCAAGTATGTTTATAACTTAGATGCGTTTATGTGTAACTATACTCACGGTTATAATTTGGGGTGTAGGTTTCATAAACTGTTAAGAATTTCTGATCTTTTTCATATATTTCTTTTAAAAAAATAGCAGGAAGCTTTTTTGACATTTCTTTATATTCGACACATGACACTAGAACTTATAAAATAAATAAATAAAATTAATGATAGCTAGTTTTTCCTATCTGCATGTTGTGATCTGTGACGAATGACCTTTTTAAAAATTTAAAAGATTTAATGGCACATGATAAAGAAGAAGAAGAAGAAACATTTTAAATTGGAACTACGAAGAAGAAGAAGAAGTGTCAAATTTCAAATTACAACTATTACAAGTTGTGGTTATGATATGATATAAAATAATCGTCTATTATTTTCATTCTTTCATTTTATTTTTCATAAGAACATGAGCAGCGACGAGCCTGATTGTTCTGAAGTTACAAAAGTAAAAGTAGGTTATTTCTTAAAAACCTAACTTTTTTTTAATATTGCTCTTGTTTTAGAAAAGGAAAATTAAAAACGAACCAAAAGAACACATGAGCATTGATGAGCCTGGTTGTTCTGAAGTAACTAAAGTAAAAGTAGGTTATTTATTTTTTTTTAAATCAAATTTTTTCATAATATTTTAGAAAAGGAAAATTAAAGATGAACCTAAAGAAAACATTGCAAAGAAACGTAAAACTACAGAAAACAAAGCTGTGGACAACGACCTTACTACATTATGGACTGACCACGAACTTCTAGCGGAACAAAAATGTATAGAGGTTTACATTGCGAGAAATATAATAAACTTATTCAAAGATGGAAATACGATTCCCTTCATTGCAAGGTATCGAAGGGATAAAACAGGAAATATGTCACCTGAATTGTTACGAGAAGTTAAGGATTGTTTTGACCACATTTGTCTGTTAAAGGCAAAAATAAATACATCCATAAACACGATAAATAAACTGGGTCAGTTGAATCCACTCTTAGAGAAAACAATAAAGTCTGTCAAGTCTCTGGAAGAACTTGAAATCATTGTAAGTTCAAAATGAATCTAAAACTCGATCTAAAATTATGAAATTTTAATGATTTGTTGTAGTATGCTCCTTTCAAAGTTGGCGGTAAGAGAACTCTTGCAGAACGGGCTAAAGAATTAGGTTTGGAAGAACCCGCAATGAATATATTAAATAATATTAAAGTTGACCTAAATAATTACATTAATCCTGACACGAAGGGTCTTGATACGAGAGAAGAGGTTGAAAAAGGAGTAGTACATATAATTGCTTATGTTATTGCTACTGACACTGAAATGTTATCTTATTTGAGAGAATTGTGAGTACCCTGAAATTATTTATACACATTTATTATCACAGATGTCTTTTCGTAAGTGAAATGATGTAATTACTTACATTAGCGCTATTTTAGAAGGGCAAATGTAAATTTCATGCTTGAAAGCAAAAAATCTCATGGTAAAATAGAATCTAAATCTAAAGCTTCAGATAAAAAACATACGGGTAAACCAGTTGACGAGTCCAAATTCGAGAATTATTTTGACTATAAAATTCCAGTGAAATATATAAAACCGCACCAGGTATGTATAGTTGCCCAATTTGTCATCCAGTCGATTTGAATTTTATAAAGATTTTAGCAATTAACAGAGGCGAAAACCAAAAAGTTTTAACGGTGAAAATTGTCGTGCCAGATTATGTTTTACATAAGTTTTCCCAGTTTTGTTGTAATAAATGGCTGAAGAAAGGAAACTTTGATTTTAATAGAAAGAGAATTATAGACGAGGCTATAAAAGATTCATACAACAGACTAGGTTAGTCATTTTTATTTTTATAACTCGCAATGTCTATATTTTCATCTGTCACGAATTAATTTATTTTAGTTCAGCCACTAATAATCAGAGAAATCCGTGCTGAACTTAAACAGAAAGCCGAAAAGGCGTCATTCGACGTTTTTAGTACAAATTTGAAACATTTACTACTTGCCGCTCCTTTAAAGGGAAAGCCTATACTAGCCATCGACCCTGGATATTCCAACGGCTGCAAATTGGCTTTAGTGTCTTCAACCGGCTCTCTTTTGTCACACAACGTTATTTACCCACACAAGAACAAAGATATAATAGAAAACGCCAAAACAGTATTAAAAAATATGTTAATGGAATATGAGTAAGTCAAAAAATAACATTTTTATCGGCTTGGACTATTTTTGGGGTTTATTTGTGTTTACTTTTGTAGTTGTACGTTAATAGCACTAGGAAACGGCACAGCTTGTAGAGAAACAGAAGAATGGTTAACCCATTTAATCGAAGAAAGAACATTCTACCCGCTGGAAGTAACGTACACGATCGTCAGTGAAGATGGCGCTTCGATTTATTCTTGTAGTACGGAGGCAAAGAAAGAATTTCAGAAGTTGGATACCAATATAATTAGTGCAGGTACAAAATATTTAGTTTTCTGTATGTTTCAATTAAAACTTTGCAATTACGTTGCAGTATCTTTAGCCCGACGAATCCAAGACCCCTTGGCTGAACTGGTAAAAGTAGAACCCCAACACCTCGGTGTCGGCATGTATCAGCACGATCTCAAAAAGAAGCAGTTGGACGAGACTTTAAACGACGTGGTGTCGGAATGCGTGAGCTTTGTAGGCGTCGATTTGAATACAGCTTCGCAGTGTTTGTTGAGGTAAGTACGGAACATCGCCACAATTGTTTATGCTGGATGAATTTTAATTGCAAAATGTATATACTGTTTCTGTCATTTATTATAAATAATTTTCTTGACACATAGCTTGGCAAACTCGCAATCCGTTAGTGCGCGTTCGTCAATGATTATGTTCTATGGGATTTTAAAACTTATTCTAACATTGGGGCGTTTTCGTAACAATATTCTTTTTTTTTTCTTCAGTTTCGCAATATTTTTTTGTAAAACTGATGCAAAAAATAATGGCTGCAATATTTACTTATGTGTACTTTTTAGGAAGATCGCAGGACTGTCCGAAAAGCGAGCAACAAACATAATCGCGCATCGAGAAAAGAACGGACCATTCCTTTACCGCAAACAGTTGACAGACGTGCCCGGAATAGGCGCGAGAATATTCGAACAGTGCGCGGGTTTCTTAAGAGTAGGGCCCACCAATGTTAAGGAAGCCACGAACTTTTACAAGAAATCAAAAACCACAAAACTAGATTGCACCTACATTCACCCTGAATCGTACGACGTGGCTCACAAGATCATCAAGAAAATGGGACTTAAACCCGAGGATATCGGAGAAGCTAACTTTATATCCACTGTAAAGTTGAAAAACCTCGATGCCTCCGCTTTGAAACAAGAATTGGGGTGTACCGAGGAAACCGCTAAACTTATATTAGAAAGCTTGGCTAAGCCGTTAAATTACGACCTACGGTACGAAGTTTCGCAGGTGCCTTTGTTCAGAAAGGGGCTAACGAGTATTTACGACATACGAGCAGGTGCGGTTGTTACCGGTCGCGTTAAGAACGTGACCCATTTCGGGTGTTTCGTGGATATCGGCGTGGGAAGCGACGGACTAATCCATAACAGTAAATTAAACGGGTTTAGTTTACAAACTGGAGATCGGGTAGAGGCCAAAGTAATTAATATTGAAGTGCAGAAGAAGAAGATCGGTTTAGAAGCTGTGAAGAAACTGTAACTTGAATTATTTTTAATTTAATTTATTTTTTAGTTAGGCGATCAAATATTTTTTGAACGTTGTAAAGGGAAGGTAATTTTTTTTAGAAAGATCTAAAAAAGTTGGACTGAATTTGTTAATAAAATTATTTTTCTTGACTTCATTGTTTTGATATCAATTTAAAACTTATGATGCATTCGTAGTAAAGAATAAATTCTAATTTCCCAATTAAATATCATCAGTTGAGTTGTATTTTTTTTAACAATATTTATTCAATACAATGCAATGTATATTTTTCGTTCACGATAAACCCAGGAAAAGAATAAAATTTAAGTCACAGGAAAATTATGTCATTTGCCCGCGACTGGGTATCCAATCAACAAACGAAAAAGCGACTGGTAAAATCACATAGAAGTATGTGGGTTAAATACAATAAATTTTGTGAATTTTTTGCAGCCAAGTATGCAATAATGTATTGTATGTTGCCTACTCTACTAAAAATTGAACTGACGACTAACATCAAATTTAATTTTATGCAACCAAGTATACTATAGCATTGTATTGTATGTTGCCTACCCAACAAAAATTGAAATGAATTTGAAACGAAAAAATTGAAAATTTCGAAAACTGATTAAACTAGAGAGGAACCAAATGAAGTTTTTGATTGGTCAAGGCAGTTGTAGTTCATCGGATTTTTTTCAGATTTTTTGATTGAACATAATCCAACGTGTATCAACTGTTTCATGCTCTGAGAGAAACTACGGGGGGAAAAGTCTTCATTGAGATTTGAAAATATAATTAAACAGTGTCGTACACGTGTTACGTACAAAATGTCGTAACTATAATGGTCACGAGTTACTTCCAACTTGTGCAATAATGTAAATTTATTGTTAATGGTTTATATTCAGAACAAAATCGATGGTATTAATAAATGAACCGATATTGTTTTTACGTCATAAAGATCTTGCCTACAGTAGTTACCATCTTCGGTTGCAACCAAGTTGTTGCGAATGATAGCATATTAGTGTCGCCATCTATGTACAAATAAATTTACTAGTATATGTGTCGCGTCGTTGGTAAAGTAGTAATTTTAGTTGTCACATTGAAAACGCAGTTTTGAGTTTGGCTTTTTAGGATGTTTTCGAATTACGAAAGTTTATTTAACTAAAACTATGGGCGAGAATCAACAAAGCAGGTTTGAAAAATCGCTGGGACTTTTAACTACTAAGTTTGTAAATTTACTGCAAAAATCCACCGGTGGTGTCCTAGATTTGAAATTGGCAAGTATCATGTCTGATCGAAGTAACGAAAAAACTGAAAAAAATTCATGTTTTTTGTAGGCAGCAGATTTACTAGCCGTTAGACAAAAACGCAGAATATACGATATAACTAATGTACTGGAAGGCATCGGTTTGATAGAGAAGAAAAGTAAAAACAGTATTCAATGGAAGTAAGTTGCTCTGGATATTTCGGTTATTACATTATTAATCTTATTTATTTTAGACCGTACACTTATAAAGACTGTTTACCAGGGGCCAACACCCAAGAGTTTTCATTAAAAGTAGCCCAGTTAAAAAGGGAACTATCGAAGTTGAGCGAATACGAGCACGAGTTAGATTTACATCGGTTATGGATCGAACAAAGTATACGAAATACTACGGAAGACCTAGAGACCAAAAACTATTTATATGTGACTAACGAAGACTTTTCAAGTTGCTATGAGGACAATGACACAGTCATCGTTGTAAATACACCCGTAAATAATACTAACGTAAAATATCAGGTAAGTTAATTTATTAAAGTGATAGTAGCTGTTGCCTGAACAGGTGTGTATTTTTAGAACTCTGAAGATAGTTATCAATTAAAGATTAAATCGTCTGGGGCCCCGATAGTAGCCAATTTATTAACGGAATCGACGGAAACCGAAGAGAGTAGAATTAATAGAAAACGAACATATACAGTAAGTTTCGCCGGTAGATTTTTTGTCTTAATTATGCCGTTTTATGATTTTTTAGATTAAAAGAGAAACTGAGGAGCCTGAAAGGAAGCGGCGGTTTTTAATCAATTCTGAAGAAGATCCTGAACTTGTGGCTGCCGAAATATTATTCAGGAAAGTGTCTAGTGATAGTTACCAGACCGATGTGATATCAGATTGTAAGTACGAGCCATTTTCCAGTTATTTATTTTATTCGAATACTTAACTTTTTTTAACAGACTCGTGAATTAAATATATTTTTTTATTGTGCGTGTAACTTTGGCTTCTAATTATTTACTTATTTAGGGTCACCGCGCTAGTTATTCGATTAGTATCGGTCAAGTTTCAATTACTTTTTTAAAAAATCTGTTTAGATCAAAAAAACAGTTATCATTTTTATATTTAGCGATTTTAAAATAGCTGATTATCGGACTTGTAGCGAGTTGACCCCAAAACAAATAATTTATTGAGATCGAAAACCAGCGCAGTAACCCTACCTAGTGAAATATCCGATGTAAATAAATGATGTATAGTTTCAGATCCGTTTTTGCGATTGAGTCCCTTGCCCTTAAATCAAGACTATTCCTTCGGTCTTCTGGAAACGGAAGGGGCTAGTGATCTTTTTGATATAGCATCTGTAACTACATGAATTAACATAAATTTATAACGACTCATTGTTAAAATTTTCTAACATAGGATTATACAATATTTTTTTATATATATATTTTTAGGCTCTAATTATTTTTTTTAATGTATCATCCCATTTGTTATATCTACATATTGAAACTGTTTTAGTTAACTGCTGAAATTTATTATTGAAAATGTAAAATAGTTTAGTAAACAGAATGGAATTGTTTGTTGTTGAGTATTATTTATATTGAAAGGTAGAGAAAAAAAAACACCATGAACAGCTTAAAACTAATACCAGAATTGTGTTAAGAAAATACTAAATCATTTTAAAGAGTACCTGGAATTTATATATAGTATTTTTTGGTTCAGTATTACAACACTACTGCATATTTTTCAATATTGCGTTTTATTTTTCAAATATTTCCCTTACCTATTTATTTTGAAATTCTTGGTTATGCGTCGAATATTATATTAAATTATTAAAGTAACATAAATTTAGAAGACGATACAATACATATTACAATTTTTTAAAACGCCCACCATTTGTCAATTATAAAAACCATTGAGTATCAAACCAAAGAAAATAAGGCTTTTTTTCGCGAGTGAATTATGTTGTATGTGTAGTATGAATGACTAAAGATATATAAACTACCAGTACTACCACATGACAACTAAGATCAGAAGAGATAGGAAAAATTACCACAAGTCAAATAAACTAAAACCGCTGTATCTTTTCCATTGCGTCACAAGCAATATTCGTATGAACTAAGACGAAAAATCCTAGTCAAATTAGTCACTATTTTCATATAATTGAAATGCCATCTTGACAATTATTTCCAAATTTGGATATTTCCCACAGTTTATTACTAGTATTACTGGATACGAAAAAAAAAAATCGATATTTAAACGCTCAGAAAATATAAATAACTGTTAGTACGGAGACGCGATCGAAACAACTGTCAAATTTTTAATCTAAGAGTGTCTGCTCCGCACGGTCCGTAAAGACGGACCGTGTCTGCTCTGCTTAGTTTTAACTGCGGTAGTCAATCTACAGTCTAAAACTAATACGCAACAAACGTCCCCCATTTTCTTTCACTCTAATACACATAAAATATTGGAACGATTGTCTGTGATAGACTGAGACTATGAGACTATCATTGTATCTCTTTTTGGCGCGTTTAAACAAATAAGTAATCACGTCCGCAACGACTGTCTCTGATACACTCTCGTGACGTAATGGCAATCTTAAAACGGTTCTAGTGTATTCACCAATATTCAGTCGCGAAAAAAAGCCTACAGATTGGATCTAATGGCTAATCTAGGTGTATTTATAGTTTTCAATTTTATTGTTTGAATTTAAAGCTTTCCAGATGGCCATGAATTTTAAAGTCGTCAGTTTTATGCAGCAGTGTGCAGTCTAAAATTTGTCTGTATTTGAGCTTAAATGTCTCTGACCTCTAATAGAATATAGACTGGCATTACTACTAAATAAATGAAACCAATTTAGTTTGCGCAGGCAGTATTTGATTTTGCGCATTTAATTATAAATACAAACTGTACTAAAAAACACAAGCACGATCTTTCGGGTCTGATATATGAATAATAGCGACTCAACATGATTACATACAAAAAGCAAAACTAGCTATTGAGCTGTGCAAAATATGTCTAGTGTAGGAAATGTAACCTCATCAATTTTGCCCTTATAAGGGTTGTAAAATTTTTCTGGAAGGCCACTATCCATTTATTATAAAGATCAGTGATCGGTTTTAAAAGAATGGAGTAAGTTCGACTAGTACCTCCTGTATCACAAACGACAACGTATAGAGATATGACGTCACTGAAATGTTTAAAGTTTGATATATTTTACTTACGTAAACACATGAAATAGTGATTCTTATTTACTAGTATATAAAAAAATTGTATAGCGTATACAGGGAAGCATTCAATTATTTTTTAATTCTTAGCGTGCGTTCGGAAATTCCAAAATATTTTTTATTGATCATGATATTATATTATAGAAATTTAGAATAATCTTCCAAAACCCAACTAACAGTAGAAGAAATTTTATTAGTGATTGATCGTGCACTTTCCTTTATAAATTGTTTTATAAGAATAATCAACAAAATAAATTTGAGAATTGACAGACAACAGACTGTTTCGTCAAATTGCAAATGGCTGTATATGTCATGTTCTAAAGTGTTACGTTATTTATTTTATAAAAATAAGAAAGGATCGTTGTCATTCGGACAAATCATTAAGAATAAAATCAAATTAAATATTGGGTGATATGAATAAAGAAAAACTACCGAAATTGGTGGATGTGTATCGTCCATCGAACCCTCTCGGTAGGAGGCAACTGCCTCTGGTTGTTGATGAAAATTTAACGGTAAATGAAAAGTGAACCAAAATTACAATAATTATTTTATTAAGAAAAAACGTAATGCTAGCTGTAGTCCTAAATCAGTTTCCGCTTATTTAATATCCTGCAATAACAATGGATATGACCTAGAAAGTTAATGTATCAATTTTTTCAGCTGGTAATGGATGTAAGAAGTTCTGGAATCATTTGCGATAACCAGCTCCTCCGAGGAAAAGATTTGGAAGACTTTGCTTGCAAATGGTTAGTCCTCTCTCCACAAGAATTACAAAATGCATTGCAAATCACAAAATCAGAACTAATGCATGTTTTAAATCAAAACGTACCATGTGTTGGATGCCGCAGAAGGTAAGTAAATACTGAACTGCATTACCTATGTTTCTTATGTAGGACGTAGACACCTGGTTTAATTGTTTGTTTTCGTGATTTTGTGCCAAAAGTATTATTAGGTCAATGCTCTTAAAACACCTACATATTTTCAGCACAGGTTGTTTTGAACTTGGGAAACTTTTATGTACGTAAACACAGATAAAGGTGAATGAATAATGAGTCTTTAACCACAACTTATGCCATATAGTAAAAAAAAACGTGTAATTCAAATTTCTGTTCAAAATTGTTTTAGTGCTCCGAATTGATTGAACATTTATTGCGAATTAATTGTGATGTTTAACGAATAAAATACTTAATGTAGATAAAATTCAAAACCTACACCAAAATATTAAGACTTGTTTCCATAAATAATACAAATTATTGATAAATGTCATATCTACATTGAAATATAACAAAGAATGTTGCTAGAAATGAATAGTAGAACAAAATGCTCTTTAAAAGGTGAAATATGTGTATACATATACGGATAAAGAAAGCTCGTAATAGTGTTAAAGTTTAAGATGTATTTGGCTGTCAGTTCTGCATGCATAACCTCATTTATTGACATTAAATTTACTCGGTGCTGTATTTTTCAGTGTTGAAAGATTATATTTTCAATTATTCAAATTTGGACATCCTACATTGGACCCTTTGATCGTAAAACCTGACGGAAGGATAACCATAAAAGAGGATAAACAAGCTTATCAAGTGTTAGGATCTATATTTCACGATCACGCGTAAGTAAAATGTAACGTCCATATGATTGATGTCTTTAAATAAACATTTTATGAGTTTTCCACTTTATTTTTAATAAGTAGTGAGTTTAGAGAATCTAAATTTTCTTGTTCCCTACACAGAGTCCGTTTAGCGAAACTTATCGAAAACCAGCCAAAACGGAATAAGAAAAGCGTTAGGTGTTTGCTACATTCCTTGGACTCGCAACGTAGTAGACCCCTAACGCCCGTTTGGAGGGACGTATGGGACTGCATGAAGCCAGACTGTAAAAAAGACGTGTGCATAATCGAGGCCTCCAGCCTACATTCTACCCTCGAAACGTACCTTCGCAAACACAGGTTTTGCGGGGAGTGCAGGACCAAGGTTCTTAAAGGTACGATTTTCATTTCTGCTATGCCAAAAAAAAAAATCTGGAAGAAAGAAATATTTTTGTTTCGCTCGAACGGTTTTAAACCCGTAGGAAATAAATAAACTATTTTGTAGCTTACACCTTGTTGGTGGAGGAGCCCGAACCCTCCAAGGAAAAGGGTTACGTCTCGTCGTTGTACTCCGGCATCAAGCGCTGCCTGCCGGATAAACACATCCACCTGCAAACGAAGACTGACTACATAACGAAGCTGATCAGTCGCGCGGAGCCCGAGCTGTTGGGAAGGTGAGTTAAAAAAAAAACCGGGGGCCCGTTTTAGGCGAAATCCTAATGGGCAGTTACAGTCGTAGGGAACGTCACGCCAAGACGTTGGAAATTGCTCAAGAGGAGGTGCTCACCTGCCTGGGGATCTGCATGTACGAGCGCCTGCACCGCATCTACATGCGAATGCGCGAGGAGGAGTGCACGTGTCAGGTGTTTGCCGCCGTGGCCGTGCACACGTTGAGCCGCAGCTTCGAGACGGCCGTCGAGCGGATCCGGGGGGTGTCGCAGCTGGAGTTGCTGTACGCCGAGTTCGCCAGGGAGGAGCAGCAGAAGCAGATACGCAAGGAGCAGAAGAAAATCAAACGGAAGCGCAAAAAGGGTGAGTACGGTGTCATCGGCGGCAAAAAAATTAGATCTGGTTCGTTTTTTATGTCCCAAATGTGTTTTTATTTCACGTTTCTTCAATTTTTACATTTTTTCTTTGTTTCTGGAAAAAAAGGACTTAATCATTTTTTTTTTTGAGTGAAATATTGAAATTTAATGAATACGTGTTTATTTCCACGCTTTTTTTTGTGAACGACTTATTTTGCCCCGCAAATTGCACTACAGACATCCGCAATCTCATACGAACGGATCCGTTGTCCACAGGGAAGGCGACGGACCACGAAGGTAAGGAACTCTGCAACGACTGTGATGGAGACGGGGAAGAGGACAAGGACGACGCGGAGAAGGACTGCGCGTGCTCCCCCGATAAGGCTGACACGTTAGGGTGCTACAACTGCTCGCAGTTGCTGTCGCCCAACAAGACCCATCAGTGTACCAACGAACTGGACGACTACGACGAGTGTTCAAAAGTCAGTAGCGGGAAAAAGGATAAGTTACGGTGTACGAACGAGTTGTGGATAGATGATTGTAAATGTGAGAACGACGTGAAGGAGAACAAGAAGAACGCCAACTACAAATGTGATAGTTATACAGATTTTACTAGTAAGAGGGAATGCGGCTCGGCCAGCGACCATTCCCACGACTGCGGTTACTCGTCGGAGAACAATAACGGGTGTTGCGAGACTGGCTCGCTCATCTCCAGCCTGTCCAGTTCGCCGGAGGGGTCCGAGCTGGCGTGTTCCGATACCTGCTGTCAGCACGAGACGGATTTTATATCGCACTGCAGATTGTCGTACGGTGGCAACGGGCAACAGCTCAGCTTACAGGAAATGCTCGAGGTGAGAATTTTGCCTTAAATAAAATAACGAAACTGATGAAATTCGAGAATATGTTTATTATATTTTTATGTCTTGCAAGTCGATACTTTTTTCACTCTTAATTTGGAAATTTTGACTTTGAAGTTCAGAAGAATATAATCCGAGTTCCAGATCCGAGAAAAATCTGACATATTGTCAAAAATACATTTTTCTATCTTATAATTCCATCATATTTTTGCACTTGTGAATTAAAAATTTCGATTTGTAAGTGAAAAATCCAACTTATAAGTCGGAAATATACAGTGTGTCCCAAAATGATGGGACAGAATTCCGATTTTTTTTCCAGTTGAAATTTAAAAAAGTCGCTGAAACTGGTCAATTTGTAAATAGAAATCGTCGCTTTCAGCAATATTTTCAATTTTTTTGAGCTCTGTTTGACAGACCTATAACCATTACCGACATTTTTTTTAATAGGACGCTCTATTTTATGGTATAAGTAGTTTATAAGGTTTTTCGTTAATAACTGCAAAGAATTAATATTTTTTAATGCCGCTTTGATAAACGTAATCCTGGTAATTTTTCACGAATTAAAAAAAAATTGTTCTAGGACCATTTTTAGCCAAGATAGCATTTTTTTTTTTTTAAATTCATAACTTGTTTATTTATAAACATTAAAACTTGGAAGTTCGGGAATAAATCAATCAACCCTTAAACTTTATAACAACGGTTACAACATATCGAAAAAAACGTTCTCGAATACATTTTTACACCTACCTGGAATGTGGTGGGGGAAATAAGACAGAAACGTTCAAAAGTGGAAATCTTAACTGCCCAAAAATTACATCTAAAAACTCGATTCTCATTAAAATAAACTTTATACATAAGAAAATGTCATTTCCTGTTTTTTTTTACATAAAAGTATTGTTTTTTAAGAAATTTGTTTATTGGTACCATTGTCAATAATTACTTACCGAAAAAATGCGAAAACAATTTTTTTTTAAGATATTAATAGTGCAGTTGTTATTATTTTCATGCGCTATCCAAGATTTAAAAAAAAAAAAACGTTAAAATTAATCCACAATTACTGGAGATATCGCAAAATTTTCGGGCAGTTAGATTTGAAGTCTCGATTTCCACTTTTGAACGTTTCTGTCTTATTTCCCCCGCCACATTCCAGGTAGGTGTAAAAATGTATTCGAGGACGTTTTTTTCGATATCTTGTAACCGTTGTTATAAAGTTTAAGGGTTGATTGATTTATTCCCGAAATTTCAAGTCTTAATGTTTATAAATAAACAAGTTATGAAATTAAAAAAAAAATGCTATCTTGGCTAAAAATGGTCCTAGAACAATTTTTTTTTTAAATTCGTGCAAAATTACCAGGATTACGAATATCAAAGCGGCATTAAAAAATATTAATTTTTCGCAAAGTTATCAACGAAAAACCTTATAAACAAATTACACTATTTGTTTATACGCCGTTTTGAGGAGGTTAGCCTATGAAATTACAATTTCCAATTGCATATCTTGAAAATATAAGTCTAGACGAAACAAATGAGCCCTCATAAGGCCCTTTATTATAACTAATATTAGCTAACACGCGTTCTGCAATTTAAAAAATGCTATTTCTAATAAACAAATGCAAAAATTGGTAAATAAATAAATATTTCTTTAGCGTTCTTTGAAAACCTGTAAGTATAAACAAAAGCAAAAACTCCTATTGGAGAGCATTTTTTAATACAGCTAAAAAACTCCATTTTTGGTCATTTTTACATTAATCATTGTTTAAACAATGATCTTGTTTTAAACCGATACTTTTTGGGAAATATTATTTCTTTTTGCCTAAACTAACAATTAAACCAAGTTTCAATTTGAAACGAATTTTTTTACATATTTTTTTTCCATTTACTGGGCTATGTTTTTCTTGCATCCAATGCGGATTTTCTGGGCTCCAAAACCTGGTATTTTGCCTGTTCACGGTTCCGTTTAAGCAAAAAGTTGCTTTGTCGGTAAAAATGATGTGATATTTTTTAAGTTGGGTTGTGTTTTCAATAAATTTCCAATTTTCTGGCAAAACTGTAATCTTCTGTCTGTGTCAGCTGCTCATAGTTCTCGTAAGACGTTAACTTTGTAAGGATGCCACTTTTAAGACTTCAGAATTCTATGAATTGAGGACTTCATTTCAATTCTGTTTTTCACGTAAACTGGCAACAATTTTTCAAAATAATTTAACGAGTGAATTGGAACTAAAACGATTCACGTTTTACCGAAGGTACTCTACTGAATTTTATAAGTTTTTTTGAGATAAAAAAGCTTTAAAGTAAGTAGAAAAAGATTAATAAAGAGTAGGTACGTTTTTTAAAGTTCAGACGAGACTATGATTGTTTGGAATAGTCATCAGTACGATATAAAAGACAATTTTTTAAATTTCTTTGATAACTGTGATAAAAAAGTAGGTATAACCTTATATCGCTGAATTCGTCTTTAAAAGCTATCTATTTATACTATAAAATATAGAACGTCCTATTAAAAAAAATTTTGGTGATTAAGTAAGCACAATCCAACTTACAAGTTAGAAACTCCAATTTACAAGTCGGAACCTACTCTGATCACTTAATCTACTATCAAAATGACGTTTTTCTGATTTGTATTACAAATTTATACGTTGAAATTTTTACGTTCTCATTTGTAACTCAGAAATTTCAGCTTCCGAGTGGAAAAATCCGGCTTATAAGTCAAAAAATTATAGTTCCGAGCTCCAAATATGAAAAATCTGACATACAAGTTAGAAGTTCCGAGGCACAATTACGACTTGGACCTTGAACTTGTAAGTCGGATTTTTCTCAAAATAAAATTTTTTCCACTTGTATTTCGGAAATTTTGAGTTTTAAACTTGAGTTGGAACTGTTAGAAGTTTGGAGTTACAAATCAGAATGTCATTTTAATAATTTAACCTACCCTGATCACTTCAATGTACCATCAAAATCACATTTTTTTAACTTGTAATTGAGAGTTTTTAATTTTAATGTTGAATTTTTCTCATTTGAAAACTGAAATCATATTTCTAGCACAAATAATTCAGAAATTTTGACTTGTAAGTCGGAAAAATTACAATTCCGAGTCCTAAGTGGGAATAAGGCAACAATTTGAAAAAAGCTAAAAATTCGATTTTTTAATTTTTTTTACATTTTTGACTACTTTTTTTTCAGTAAAGATAAGTATAGGCATTGCTTCATAGAAAAAAAAGTAGATAAAATTTCCTTCAACATATGAGGTTGTAAAGAATTTTTGGATGAAAATTGACTGAGGCCGCTCAAACTTACAATTAGCCTATTTTTCGATTTTCGTCACGTTAACCCTTATACATTTTAATTCTCATTTTTTGCAAAAAAGGAAGGAAATAAGACATTCAAGCATTTTCATCACATGACTTGTTCGAAGGGTCATTAAAAATGAAAAAACCACAGGGTGCTATTAAATTAGAGAGTTGAAATTGAAGATAGGGGTGAAAATGCACTTTTGCAGTTTTTTAAAAATAGCATGAAAACGAAGCAAAATTTTGGTATAGTTTATAGGAAAAATTTTGTAGAGAATTGAATTTCCCATCGAAATGTCTTATATAAAAAATTTAAAAGAAGAAAAATTTTATGCAAAATATCGTTAATAAGCAATTTAAAAAAAACAAAAAATAAGATTTTATTTTTTTTACTTTTTCGACTAATTTTTTTTTTTTTTTCGTAGAAGTAGGCAAAAAATATTGCTGTACAAAAATACTAGATGACATTCCCTTCAAAATTATGCGTTTTCAAAAGTATTTGGACTAATATTGACGGAGTTATCTGTAGATAACCGGTCAAACCTAAATATTTTTTAGATTTTTGTCGTTTTTAACATTTATGTAATAATGATTATAATTCTTATTATTTTTACAGCAAATTGGTTCTTTACTTAATAAAAAAGTATTTCAAAAGTTTTATTTGTTAATAATAAATGAAGATTTTCACAACTTGGAGTCAAAAAAGTAAAAAAAATCAAATAATCTTATTTTTTGCTTTTATTTTGCATAAAATTTTTCTTTTAAATTTTTTAAATTAGCCTTTTCGATGGGAAATTCAATTCTCTGTAAAATTTTTCCTATGAACTATACCAAAATTTTGCTTCGTTTTCGTACTAAATTAAAAAAACTGCAAAAGTGCATTTTCACCCCTATCTTCAATTTCAATCCTCTTAATAGCACCCCGTGGTTTGTGGCACAGTTGGGAGCCAGCACGACAGATGGAGTCATCTGCGCTCCCGCAAACAATGTATTTCCTTGTCGTGATGATACGAGGCAAAACAGCTGGATCGTTCGTCAGTTGCCTCACCTATGGCACACTGATGAGGACTAATAAGTCCAAAACCGGTCTGTGTCTGGCGAGTTAACCTGGCAAACGATCCTAGCTGTTGCACTAGGTGTTGCGGGTATAATTCAATGCCGGTAGGGGCATATACTCTCGGAGTAGATGTTTCTCGCAACACTGACAAATTTGAAATGATATTTTTCTGACTTACAAGTAGGATTTTTCTTACTAGGAACTCGGAATGATATTTTTGAAACTAGTTAACTTGGAGATATCGACTTATCCGTCGGAATAATAGTAAATATGTGTATTTAGTGGCATTTCTGCACTTCTATATTGATCCGAGTTTTATTTCCCATCTTCAGAGCCACAGCGAGGACGACGACGAAGATTGTTTCATAACCGCGGAGGAAGTTAGGGAGTTTAAAAGCAACAACCGGCAGGTGTACGAGCAACGTCTCGAATTAAGAGAAACCCTTCAGAAGAGGTTTGCCCAGTTCTGCGCGGACGGGCCGGTACCGCGCTTGCTCGTTCAAACCAAATACGCTTCGAATTGATGTTTTTTTTACAGTCCCCTCATTTTTCCACGATTTATATATTGTTCAGTTTTAATTATACATAAAATTGTTTTTACTTTTAACGATCTTGTTTCTTTTTCTATATATACAAGCATATAACTTGGAGATTCGTTGCACAAAAGAGCCATTATTTTCGGATGAGTAGTTTTCATTTATTTTTCATTTTTCACGATACGACTGCGCGCGATTCGCGAAGCTGAAACTGGGAAGATATTATAAATACAATATAATTACTAAATGTATTTGTTGCATTCCATTATGGGTTATTGTTAAAAGATAGATTGTTTTGTATAGGCATCTGGTGTACATATATTTCCACCAGTTCCTCATTCTATGTAAGAGTCATAATAAATTAAATATACTATTTGTCCTCGTTTTATTCCCATTGTCGAATATCGTGGATAAATGCCAGTGTTCGTGGAAGTCGAGGTCGAACCGCAGAAAAAAAAACTGTTTTATGACGGTTAACTCATATAAATGGTAAGTAAAATAAATTATTAATGAGCATTTTCAATAACCAAAATCGTCGAAGTTGCAAAATGGCACTTACAGTTAATAATAATTAAAATTGTTAAAGACTTATTGAGAACCTCTGGAATCGTCCCTGGGTTACGTACTACATAAAAAGAGATCAATAGTTATAGCCTTAAATAGTCTGTCGTCCATTTCTTTGCCTCATTTTTTTCGTAGATGAAAAATTTCTAGTTCAATATTAAGATAATCACCAGTTCTACTTTATTTTCATTACATTATTCTTACGTTGTCAAAGAGGATTTTTTTTATAATAAACATTAATAAACAAGAGTCGAAATTGTTGAAACTTATTGAGAACTTCTGAAATCTTGCCTAGCTTAAGTACTACATAAAAAAGATCAATAGTTATGACTAAATGGCATGCTACCCGCTTTTTTGTCCTGTTTTCTGTAATAAACAGAAAAAATACTAGTTCATTATTAAGGTAATCACCAATTTTACGTTATTTTCATTATATTTTAATATCAACGGATTTTCAATAATCAAAATCATCGAAATTGCGAAACGACTCTTACAGTTATTAATAATCCAAATTGTTAAAACTTATTGAGAGCCTCTGGAATCGTCCCTGGGTTACGTACTACATAAAAAAGAGGTAAATAATTGAAGCCATAAATAGCCTGTTGTCCATTTCTTGGTCTCGTTTTTTTGTAGCTGAAAAATTGCTAGTTCGATATTAAGATAATCACTAGTTCTACTTTATTTTCATTACATTATTACTTTGTCAAAGAGGATTTTTTTTATAATAAACATTTTCAAGAGTCGAAATTGTTGAAACTTATTGAGAACTTCTGGAATCTTGCCTGGCTTAAGTTCTACATAAAAAAAGGTCAATAGTTGTGACTGTAAATAGCATGTCACCTACTTTTTTGTCCACTGTTTTCTATAATAAACAGACAAATTACTAATTCATTATTCAGGTAATCACCAATTTTATGTTATTTTCGTTATATTTTAATATCAGAATTTTAAATAATCAAAATCTCCGAAATTGCGAAATGGTTCTTAGAGTAAATAATAATCAAAATTGTTAAAACTTATTGAGAACCTCTGGAATCGTCTCTGGTTTACGTACTACATAAAAGAAGTAAATAATTGAAGCCATAAATAGCCTGTCGTCCACATCTTGGTCTCGTTTTTTTGTAGCTGAAAAATTGCTAGTTCAATATTAAGATAATCACTAGTTCTACTTTATTTTCATTACATTCTTACGTTATCAAAGAGGAATTTTTTTATAATAAACATTTTCAAGAGTCGAAATTGTTGAAACTTATTGAGAACTTCTGGAATCTTGCCTGGCTTAAGTACTACATAAAAAAAGGTCAAGGTGACTGTAAATAGCATGTCACCTGCTGTTTTGTCCTGTTTTCTATAATAAACAGAAAAATTACTAATTCATTATTCGGGTAATCACCAATTTTACGTAATTTTCATTATATTTTAATACCAGAGGATTTTCAATAATCAAAATTGTCGAAATTGCGAAACTGCAGTTACAGTTAATAATAATTAAAATTGTTAAAATTTATTGAGAACCTCTAGAATCGTCTCTGGCTTATGTACTACATAAAAAGAGATAAATAATTACAGCCATAAATAGCATGTCGTCCATTTCTTGGTGCCATTTTTTGTAGCAAAAAAATTTCTAGTTCAATATTAAGATAATCGCTAGTTCTACTTTATTTTCATTACATTCTTACGTTATCAAAGAGGAATTTTTTTATAATAAACATTTTCAAGAGTCAAAATTGTTGAAGTAAACAGAACAATTACTAATTCACTATTAAGGTAATCACCAATTTTACTTTATTTTCATTATATTTTAATATGAGAGAATTTTCAATAATCAAAATCGTCGAAGTTGCGAAACGGCATTTACAGCTAATAATAATCAAAATTGTTAAAACTTATTTAAAACCTCTGAAATCGTCTCTGGCTTACATACTACATAAAAAGAGATGAATAATTACAGCCATAAATAGCCTGTCGCTATTTTTTTCTCGTTTTTTTGTAGTTGAAAAATTGCTAGTCCAATTTTAAGATAATCACCACCTCCACATTATTTTCATTATATTCTTACGTTGTCAGAGGATTTTTTTTATAATAAACAGTTTCAATAATTGAAATCGTTGAAACTTATTGAGAATTTCTGGAATCTTGCCTGGCTTAGATACTACATAAAAAGAGGTCAACAGTTGTGACTATAAATGAGATGTCACCTTATTTTCTGTGGTAAACAGAAAAGTTACTAGTTCACTATTAAGGTAATCATAATTTTACTTTAATTTCATTATATTTTAATATCAGATGATTTTCAATAAACAAAATTTTTGAAGCTGCAAAATGAAGCTTATAATTGATAAAGCTTGAAATCGTTAACATTTTGAAAATATCTGAAATTCTACCTGACTTGTATAAAAAGAATCAATCGTTGTGTCCCATTTCTTTGTAGTAAACAGAAAATTTGCTACTTCCATAATAAGGTAATCACATTTCTATTTTATTTTCATTGCATTATTGTGAAAAATAATTTTTTTTATAACATTTTCAATAATCAAAATCATTGAATGGGACTTAAAATTATTAATAGTTGAAATTGTAACAACTCATCGAGAACCTCTGGGATCTTACGTAACTTACGTACTACATAAAAAGAGGTCAATAGATGCTGCAAATAGTGTATCATCTGCTTCATTGTCCTATTTATTGTAGTAATGTGAAAAGTTGCTAGTTCAATATTAAGGTACTCATTACTGCTTTATTTTCATTACCTTCTTATTGTGAAAAAAATAACTTTAACGAGGTTTTTAACTTGTTAAGAACTACAACTTTTGCCTAATATTTTTCTCTTTCCACTTATTAAAGAAATACAATAAAGTGTCTCAAAATGCAAAAAATATATATTTAAAACTAAAACACCTTTATTCTATAAACTGCGATATACATAAACAGGCGTTGGTCCCCCCAAAACCAAAAGCGTTCTTTAAAGCTATCCTCTTATCACATTTTTTCCACTCTTGACTATTAACAGGGACAAAATTAATTTCTCTGTCTTCTATCATTTCCAAGTTAATCGTAGGGGGCAATATCCCATCCTCCACCGCCTTTACCGTGAAAACTGCTTCTAAATTCCCCGCAGCTCCCAATAAGTGACCGTGCGCCCCCTTGGTGGAAGAAACAGCAATGTTACTGCAATGACTGCCAAACAACTTTTTTATTGCTTTTGTTTCAATGGCGTCGCCTAACGGAGTAGAAGTAGCGTGTGCATTTATGTACGTTATTTCATCCAATTTGATTTTCGCATCTTGTATTGCTCTCCGCATTGCAAGTAACGCCCCGATACCATCCGAGTGTGGAGCTGTAAGGTGCGAGGCATCTCCAGATAATCCATAACCCAAAATCTCTGCGTAAATATGAGCTCCTCGACCTAGGGCTTGCTGCAATTCTTCTAAAATTAATATTGCACTGCCTTCACCCATAACAAAGCCTTCTCTATCTTTATCGAAAGGTCTAGATGCTTTCTCTGGCATGTCATTGAAGGAAGTACTTAACGCCCTCAATCTACAAAATGCAGCTATAGACAATGGAGATATGCACGCCTCAGTACCACCACATACCATAACATTGGCATAGCCATTTTTGATAAACCGAAAGGAATCCCCAATGGCATGTGCTCCTGTAGCACAAGCTGTAGAAACTGCATGATTAGGTCCCTGAAATCCATACTTAATACTAATATTTCCAGCGGCCATGTTGGGTAATATTCTAGGTACAAAGAAAGGACTAACGTGATGGTAACCTTTCTTTAAAGCATCGTAAGTGCGACAAATATCTCCAAGATCTACCATTCCCATGCCGACTGCAACCCCAGTATTTTCTTTCATGTCGTCGGTCATATTTAGTAAGTTCGCATCTTGTAAAGCTTGCTTGGCAGCTAATAAGGCGTATCCTGTTGCAGGTGCCATAGTTTTTAATTCAGTCTTTTTGAAGTGTTCAGAAAGCTGAAATTCCACACCGTTGTCTTTTACAAATCCCGCTACTTTACAAGGCAAATGTTCATATTCGGGGCTTTGGAGTTTAGTTATGCCACATTTTCCCAAAATAATATTCGTCCATGACTCTTTCAGACTGATGCCCATAGGAGATAAGACTCCAATTCCAGTAACAACTACCCTTCTATGCATATTTAGATAAATTTAAAATTTCTTCCAACTATTAAGCAGCCGGAACATTATACTATGGTCTATTTAATATTGGTAACAATTTTAAATTAATTATACTCGCTATAGACTACTTTTTACTATTACATATTTATTTTAAATAAACGATTTTCGGTTATCTTGTATGTTCACTGTTTGAGGTTATAAGAAACATTTCTTCTTCTCCTTCTCATACTTGATTTAAGTCGTAAACCCAGAAAGAATGCTCCAACCAATCGCGTGCGTGCCAGCTAGTGTGAGATAGCGAGTACTATATGTCTCTCTCTCTCACATACTCAGCCACTCTTCGCAATGGCATGCTCATGCTACTTCCAGTAGTATATGCTCGAAGCACAGCACAGACTCCGCGATGTAGATATTTTTCTAAATTTATAATTTAGGTTGGCAAGATTTGACACTTTATACTGGTTAATGAAAATGTCTAGGTTATGTTATAAACTTTGTTATGACATTTAATTAAAATTCTATTTATTGTGTTGAAGTAATTTTTTCAATTATATAACAACAAAAACTAATATGTCGGAGCCTGAATTGCAAGAAGAAGAACGTGAAGTACTGTCTTCGATATATGATGGAGATGACTCATTTAAACAAATTGACCCTACTGTATATCAGTACAAAGTAAGTTGTTTGGGCAATTGGGCAGTAGTTCGTGTTTAGAATTCACAATTTTCAAATAGAAGAAAAATATTTTCCTTTAGGCATTTTCATATTATACAGGTTTTAATTGGTAACTTCTGTTTAGTATGGTGAAACGGATACTAATAAATCATTTTTATTGGAAATAAAATGGACTTCCAAGTACCCTAACGAGTTACCCGTTATTAGCATGGACACCTTTTACAATAAACATATGTAAGTGGTTTAAAATCCGTATAAGTTGTTTAATATATAAAACGAATTTATCTTTAGTGTGCCATCATTAAAAAACAAAATTATTGACGTTGTTATCTCAGAAGCGGAACAATACTTAGGTATGTCTATGACTTATTCCCTATTCGAATTTGTTAAAGAAAAATTCGAAGAACTAATACAACAGCAGCCGGAAGGAACAAATGAGATATTGGACATCGAGAAATTGTGTATAACTGACCAAGAACCGCAACAGGTAGCTTATCTTTTTGTTATTTTGAAGAACTTTCTACGTAACTGTTTCAGGAAGCTGTCAAGAAAGAAAAGAAGGAACAGTTAACTAAAGCTCAAAAAAGGCGACAGTGGAATAAAGTTGATGGGAAAGGTGAAAAACCGAGAGGTTGGAATTGGGTGGATATCGTGAAACATCTTTCTCAGACTGGATCGAAGGATGAAAGTTTTCCAGTATCTTAAAGAATTTTTATACCCATTGTGCAATTATATCTTTTTTCAATAAAAAGTTTTTTATTTTTATGCTGTATTAATTTATTAAATATCTAACCATTTCCAGACTGCAGAGAAAGATTCTGTTTGAAAGTAAATTTTGTGCTAGAGGACATTAATTCAATCAGTTTGTAAGAAACCAAGAATTTCTAGAATTCTTCGAAATTTGCAAATGGTTATTTTTTCTTTGGTGGTCATAAATTTAAATTAAAGAAAATATTTTATTAAAAATTATAAAAGTACAATAAATTATCTAAGTTACATGGCTAGTTGTAGCAAAAGTAGTAGAGTTATCTGTGTTAGAAAGAAAAGTAGAAGTTCCTTGAGTTTGCACACCAGGACGCTTTTCAGACTAAAAAGAAATCAAATGTATAAATTTAATTCATATTTTTTTAAAAGAAACAGTTTTCAAATTGTTTAACTTCACACAATATTTGTTGAATTTTTTTCTAATTACACAAAAACATAATACAATATGCATACAAATTTATAATATTACAAAACAATAATTTATGAAAAATGACTTACCGCTTTTATCCTATACATCTGATCCAAAGCGTGAGGTAATATAGGCCTGATGGAGTTAATTTCCATGATGGTTAAATGGTCCACAGCTGCGTAAGATCCATCTTTCTGTATTAACTCGATAACAGACGACCGAATTTTAGTCGTCCTAATATCCCAGATGTCCTTTATTATTGTCCTTATTTCGTCTGCTCTGGGTATGTCGTCTGAGGCACAACCCAGTAACAATTTAGCTTCTACCATATAGTGCTCACTGGGCATTTTAGTAAAAGTCCTAAAACGTAAATATCGTAGAATAAACCAGACACAATATTTTATATTAGCACTTTGATGATTTCTCATCTTCTTTAATAGATTCTAATTTTTCCACTTCCATCCAGTCTGGCTGCTGAATTTTGCACTTTTGCTGCTGTTTCAAATTTATCGCCATCCATAGGGGTACTTTAACTGGAAGACTTGCACGAAATGGCCCCACATCGCCAGATATTAAATGAATAACGTCGCTGTTGAATGTTGGAATTATTGTTACGAGCTGTTTTTCGCCTAGAAATTCTACTTCGTCTGGATCCATTTCACTTCTTTTAAATTCAATAAAAATAAAAAATAACAGAAAACGTAAACTTTTTCAAACAAATAGGTTACATGATACATTAAAAACGTTACTCTTCTTCTTCTTCTTCTTCTTTGATTTTACTACTTAGTACTTGTCCAAATTATTCATATTTTGAAAGAATGGAAAATTAAAACATTGGTATAGTAGGCACAGTATAATAGAAATTTGATACTTGGCATTTGGCTTAGTTTATTTAAAATGAAAAGAGGGAAAATAGTTCATAAACATTTATTAATAAGCAACATATACTTGCAGGATTCATTTATCTTCTTAGTATTAGTAGATATGTGGTATTAGCTACATTTATTTGGATTTTTTATTATTTTGCACAGTTTTAGAGTACTTATTGAAACTTGGATTTTTCTTGACAACACTATTAAAGTAAATAATTTCTACTAATAAAGTTACAATGCTGATGAAATAACCTATGCCTAATGCAACCAAACCGCCGGAAAATTTTTTCATGTTCATTATTGCTTTTATTTCATGTTCGTTGTCAGTTTGGACTTCAGCGTTCAACACGTTTTGCATCACATCGTCCAACCACTTTTTAATTAAACCAGCCTCCATAACCATCCTTATAAATTTGTCAAACCTTGGCTTCATTGGGGAATTTTTCTGTAAACCTAAAAATAACATTTTTTTTTTGTTTCAATCACTATAATATTTAATTACATTTTTCTCTTTTTAATATATTGAATTATGTGCAAACAGACGTCAACATAACGACCCACCTATTGAAATCGGCATATTGATGATGCAATCGTTCATTATATGCAAACTACGGTCCTGCTTGGCGAGATTTTTCGCCTCTTCGGTTTGATTCGAAGTGAAATTTCTTTTAGAGAGCGACTGGAACCTCAGCTGGCGCTTCACTAATGCCTCTTTAAGGAAGTACGTATTTTCGTAGAATGCAAACGAGGCATCCGCCACTTGGTCCACCGCTTCATCGGAATCGTTTACCATCACGAAATTCTCCGATATCATTTTAAGGGTGGCGTCGTCAGAGGATGTAAAAAATTCTCTTGTTAAATCGCCCCAACCGCCGTAAGTTAATTTGCTGGCTACCAGTTCATCTAACGTGTCTATTCTTACTCTAGAAGGAAACAGCATTAGAATGCTATTATTAAGGAGAAAACAAAAAATCAAATACCGTGAATGACAGAAATGCTTGGCCAAAGCTTAATATTTAATTCTATGGTATCAACAAAAAAAACATATTAAAAATGCTTAATTTTTCTGATATAGGTAATTGTAATTTGAATAAATAATCGATTTTTTTTAAATGTAAACTACAGAATATGCGTGTATATAGAAAAATATTAATGGAGTTTTTTATTGCTCAAGTTTTAATTCAATGCAATTCTTGGTAAAACTGGTTGGTGTAATTATTTATGTAAGCGTTTGAATATCAATCCGGCAATCTATTTTAGCTTCGTTTACAGGTCTTCCAAAATTTAAACGTGTTTTAATTTTATATCCACGATTTAAAAAATGTTCTTTATCCAAATTATTGGGCAAAAGAGATAACTACTTTACCGACATAGTAGTGGGAGGAGTGATGATGACAGTTGAATTGAATTGTTATTATCCCGCGCACGTGTTGAAATATTTAGAGTAAAATTTCGTTTTATGCCGATATTTATTGGATATATTTCGGTTAAAGTGAAATAAAACAGTATAGATCTCGGTGGAAATAAATATTTTATTCTAAAAAGCAGGTAGTGTTTAAAAACTAGTGATTTCTTACTATCCGCTGAGGCTAGAGAGATTCCTAACAAATTATAGATGCTCGGCATTTACCTTTGGACAACAGAGGGAGATTATTTCAAAAGGTAGGCTAATTCACAAATTATTAAATTTAATCAAACAAGCTTAGACATTTTCAAATCGAATATAATAAAAAATGTTTGAAATAGAGATGCGTGCGTTAACATGTTATATTATTTTGCATAATTTTGCATAATTCTACAATGTTACAATCTCCATTTATTTTGATTGAAAACGCTCCTCAAATACAGCAAAAGATAGTGTTCTTGAAAAATAATTTCCACTTTTACAAACACACCTTGTACACTTTGGATAAACTTACCGCGGCGTCGGTTTTGCCAGGATAGCAGTCATGCTGGCCCGATAGGACGTAACTAATAGTAAACAATAAAGCCAATACCACCCTGTCAACATCCTTAAAGACCACCCCGAGGGCAGTTTGGGAAGCGATACCAAAAGCAACATACTGTACGTATATAGGGTGCTGTTTACCGGTTGGCTGAACTGATATAAACCCACAGGTTCGTCTTTATCCCGAGGGGGCTGATACTGCTCTTTCATAAGGGTATATTTTACGTTTGGGTCCAGTTTTTCCACCTCCGGAAACAGCGACAGGGTCACCACTTTCTTTTTCTTGCCGCGTAGCTCTTCGACGGGGTCGGGGTGAATTCTGTTCTTGTTTTTTACGCGTTTATTTGTCATCGTCGTCATGTGGACGTGGAAGCGGGCAAGGAAGTAGAAGGCGAGTGTGCAGAGCATCAGGCAGATCAGAACGGCGGCCCACATTATGGGTCTAAAAATTACGGGAAATGTTACATGTGAAATGAGATTGGTTTGGTTTTTATGGTTGTTTATCTGCAGATAAGTTCTTAGGCAAAGGGTAATAGACCGGGAGATATTAGACTGAAGTTCGACGACGTCTTTCTCGTTTATACCTCTGAGAGTACTAAAAGGTAACCGAGAGACAAGTACAATAAACTAAATTTAAAAGATGGGCCGCGGGACACCTTTGTGAAAATTCAATTTTCCTTTTCAAAAAAATAATGTGTACAGCGACGTATTTCTCACTTATGCCATGTTCGTAAGTTGAAGAGAAGTATCGATTTTATCACGAAATTTTTTTGGCATAAGTGTCGCAAGAGACCTAAATATGGAAAACTTTGTAAGAAAATGTGGAAAAACATCTTTATTTGTCTACCAATTTCTCATTAATGCCAATTAGAAATATGACATTATTATATTCGAAAAGCTCATAAAAAACATTGGCATAAGTCCTACTAAGGACTAAAGAAAATAGGGCTTTGGAAAAGCTGCGGAAAATTTTTCGTTTTGGTCAACGTTTTTCTCGTGAATAAATTAAAGCTTATTGCAAAGAAAAAAATGAAAGTATTCATTTTTTTTAAAGGGCATAAGTCCCTGGTGAGGACTATATGCTAAAAATTTTTTGAAAAGTTGTAGGAAAATTCATGAAAATTTTTACGTCTTTCTCGCTTATGCCATTTTGCATGCACGTAGGAAACTACATTATAAAGTCATATAAATGTAGGCATAAGTCCACATTGGATTTTCATGTTGTAAATTAATTTGAATTTTAATACGAGTCAGGTCGACAAAGTAGAAAAATAATAGAAAATTGCCACAATTTTCTCGTTTATGCCGTTTCGTACACGAGTAGAAAATATTACTAAAAGCCATTTTCAAGAGTGGCATGAATGCCACAAGGTACCGTCGTATGTAAAAATTTTTAAAAAGTTTATTTCATCGCCTACGCAATTTTCGAAATACTTATACTTACTTGCATTTAGCGTATTTTTAATTTTTATAAATATAAGTAATTCATGTATTTAATGAAAGTTAATAATAAACTATTTCGGCTTAAGTCCCCACATATTAGAAATGATTTTTAATTATTCTTTGAGTCATGATCAGAAAAAGAAAAATTATATAATATTGCCACAAATTTCTCGTTTGTTCGTAAATGAGTAGAGTATTTTATCACAATAGACCATACGTATTTATGAACAATATATTTAAATTTTAAAAATTAAAAATATTATATAATTTGAATTAACCGCTTCAGTGCAAGGATGATCTACTTGAATTGAGCCGACTAAGGTAGAAGAAGAAGAAGAAGAAGAAGAAATAATTAAGCTAGAATACATAGGGAAGAAACTGATTTATAACTGATTTAATATCATGTATATTGAATTTTGTTTTTTGTTTCTGGTACTTTGTACCTTAATTACTTAATTTGTACTTTTATACATTTTATTTTTATATTAAAAGATTTATTTAAGTAATAGTAATTGAATTGAAAAACCGCTGCCAACTCAATTGTCAGAATGCTTCCTCAAAGACTTTGAATTACTAATTTTTAATTATAACTAACACAAACAATAACACTTAAAATAATACAAATTTTTATTAACTTAAAATTAAAGCATATCAAAAATAAAAAGTTTTTTCGGTTTTATGATTTTTTACATTTTCAAATTTCAAACAGTTTTATCTGCAGCTCTTGATGAAAACGGATCAAAATAAAGGCCTTACTACCAGCTTTATTATAAGTTATTAAGAATTATCGTAATAAAAAATAACATGTCGAAAAATCAAACTAAACCCAATATAAAGCTTTCTCTTTTTCATGAAATTTTTTTTATTTTAAATTTTTTATTCCCTTTTATAGTTAGAAATATTCATTTTTTATATAGATATCTTCTCCGACACTTGCATTATTTATCATACATTTTTTAAATTAATTTAAGTATATCGAAAATTGCGCAGGCGAGGAAATAACCGCAATTTGTAATTTTTGACAACTTTTTAAAAAATTTTACATACGACGGTACCTTGTGGCATTCATGCCACTCTTGAAAGTGGCTTTTAATAATATTTTCTACTCGTGTACAAAACGGCATAAACGAGAAAATTGTGGCAATTTTCTATAATTTTTCTACTTTGTCGACCTGACTCATATTAAAATTCAAATTAATTTACAACATGAAAATCCAATGTGGACTTATGCCTACATTTATATGACTTTATAATGTAGTTTCCTACGTGCATGCAAAATGGCATAAGCGAGAAAGACGTAAAAATTTTCATGAATTTTCCTACAACTTTGAGACTTATGCCTTCATATTGAACCCATAGAGGAGTGATGCCTACTTGACACAGTACATTATTTATAGTAAGTATCATAAATTTTCAACGGCATAAATGAGAAAGTTATAGAATGAAAATAAAAATTTTCCGCAGCTTTTCCAAAGCTCTATTTTCTTTAGTCCTTAGTAGGACTTATGCCAATGTTTTTTATGAGCTTTTCGAATATAATAATGTCATATTTCTAATTGGCATTAATGAGAAATTGGTAGACAAATAAAGATGTTTTTCCACATTTTCTTACAAAGTTTTCCATTTTTAGGTCCCTTGCGACACTTATGCCAAAAAAATTTTGTGATAAAATCGATACTTCTCTTCAACTTACGAACATGGCATAAGTGAGAAATACGTCGCTGTACACATTATTTTTTTGAAAAGGAAAATTGAATTTTCACAAAGGTGTCCCGCAGCCCATCTTTTAAATTTAGTTTATTGTACTTGTCTCTCGGTTACCTTTCAGTACTCTCAGAGGCATAAACGAGAAAGACGTCGTCGAACTTCAGTCTAATATCTCCCGGTCTATAACATTAAAAGTGAAATAGAAACAGGCATGAGCGTAGTCAGAGGAAGGCAATAGAGGCAGTTGCTCATCCTGGAAAGATCGTTTTATTTGTAACCGACCAAATTTAAAAACTGTATAGCCAATAGAGGGCATTACGGATGACAAAAAAATTGTCCATTTCAAATAACTTGGTGGCATACTATTGCTTTTATCAATGAAAGTACAATACAAAAATACGTGTTTTCTACTTTGCATCACTGACAACATTGACAACAATACTTTTTTTGTTTCTGTTATCAAATAAATTCCTTGTGAAATGATGTAATTATTTCAAGTTTCAACAGGAAATGCAGTAGTAAAGCCATAATTAAAAATCTAACCATCGACTACATAGTTGATCGATCACGTACGTGGTACAGTAACAAATTTGAATTGCCTAACTAAATAATTAAAAACACGTTTCCGTTAATTAACTTAAGATTATTTCCTAGAGAATATTAGAGTATTTCCTACTCACTTGAATGGCAAAACGAGCGTCTTCCAGGAATTGTCCGTAAGCGATTCCGGGGTGAGGAAAGTCAAACACTCAGTATTATACGGCACGCTCAGGTCCATTAATTCCAATAAATACGGAGTGTAGTATAAATCTCCCAGAGCGATATCGGCGCGAGCGTTGACCATCTCCCCTATTATTCCAGTGTAAATTCCGCCGACCATTTTTCGACCCCACAGTTCGACGTCGGCGTTTTCGGGCTCGTAAATTTCGCATCTGAAATTCATTGCCTTCGCAACGGTTTGTATAATCTGAAAGAGATGTATGTACGAGGATGCACCCGAGTTATTATCTATATCTTATATCTGGTTCGCTGGCGCTACACCGACAATACATGCAGATTTAGGGTTCGAAAACAAATTCTCATCAAAAACCAGCTTATAAACCCTAAAATTGAGCGGGCTTGTGAGGGGTGCACTTTCCCATGCTAAAATAATGCATTTTTTTAAATTTTATGTTGAAAAAGCTGAACATTTGGTTTATGAATCCTCTACAAAACTTTTGAGGGCTATAACTTTTTCCTGTTAAATTTACAAGCATGATTATTGGTAGAGGATTAAATTTCCTACAGGAAAAAGTCAATAAAAATTCGTAAAAAAATGTTTCATATATTCTACGATAAAAAAGACATTTCGTCTAAATTTTAACGAATAATATAAAAACAATTTTTATAAATAAGGAACGTGCTATATTTAACAATATTTTTTTATCAATTTTTGTTCTATATTTTGATTGTTAGTGAATATACAGTATGTCCGCGGATTGAGTTTACAAGAAGATAAATGGACCAAAAAGTGAAAGATACGAAAAAAAGGCATTCTTGATAAGTTTTTGCTTATTTAGAGATGCGAATCACCATGACGAACTTCAATTTTGTTGTACAGGGCGGGTCAAAAACACAGAAATGTTATTTTGCGTAAGAGTAAACATAGGTACCTTATTTTGCAAGATACGAAAAAAGGCATAAAAGTTTTTGCTGGAAAAATTAATACGAGTCACAAGTCACGTTATCAAAAGTTCAGTGACCAAGTTTCAACAGTCCTAAACTAAACATCCTCAGAAATATTTCAGAGACTGTGATTTTTTTTCGTCCCCTGTATCTCGAAAACGAACTAACTCACGTTCATATTTATTAAACTTAATACCTACATCTAATCCGTTCTATTATCCTTTAGCGAGCGAACAAATTTTAGAGATACCTTGTATGGTTGCAACAACCATTAAAATATCACTGATGGTTTTTAAAATGGGATTTTTGTAATAACTGTCTCTAATCATATTGTAGGTTCCATGTTTGCGCAGCTGATCAAGTTATGTGGTTTATTCTGATTTAAATTGTACAGGGTGGCCAAATGAAAACGAAACAGAACCATTTTCAGGAACTGCGTCAAGATTGTAGAAAAACGCTCAGACCCGTCGATTTTAGATTAAAGGGGGACATTCTTTGCTGGTATTTTTGACTCCGCCACTTTCACCCCCAAGCAAGGGTAAGCATCACCCCAAAATATTTAAATGGCATTGGGGGTTGAGTAATATTTCTTTTGAAAGCTCTTACAATTCTCTTTACAACAGACTTTAAATTTTATAATTCCGCCCAATACTTTGAAAAAAATTTACATTTTAAAATTTAAATTATGTTTAGTTGCTTACTTACTACTTAGTTGATTAAATGTTCAAACTGATGACCGCCCGCTTCCATACAAGAATAAAGATTTTGTTCGAAACGTTCGCGCACATTCCGAAGCATTTCCGGAGTGATTCGACGGCATTCGTCGACGATTCTTTGACGCAAATCTTCCAGCGACGCTGGCTGTGTTTTATAGATTTTACTTTTTAGGTATCCCCACAAAAAGAAATCAAGGGGCGATAAATCCGGTGATCGTGGAGGCCACTCAATGCTGCCTCTTCTCCCAATCCAATTCCGTAGAAAACGTTGGTCCAAATACTGACGGACAATTAACGCATAATGCGGAGGAGCACCGTCCTGTTGAAAAATCAAATGATCTTCATCATACTCTGGAACATTTTCAATAATATCAGTCAAGGCAGGGTCAATAGCGTCTTCCAGTAATTGCAAATACATTTGGCCAGTCAAATTACCAGGTAGAAAAAAAGGACCCACCAGCCGGTCACCGAAAATTCCAGCCCATACATTTAATTTTTCCGGTTGCTGTGTATGCACCTCGTGAAAAACTCTTGGGTTTGAATCGGACCAATAGCGGCAATTGTGACGATTTACCGTCCCGTTCAAGAAAAAACTGCATTCATCAGAAAAACAGATGTTAAAAAGGAACTGTGGATCGTTCCCTGCTCGCTCACTCATTATTTCGCAAAATTGCAAACGGCGGTCATAATCATCCTCATGAAGTTCCTGGACTAAATGTATTTTGTATGGATGGAATTTATTCTTCTTCAAAATGGTTTGTATGCTAGTTCGATTGATCCCAGACACAGATGCCAGCTGCCTCGTACTTAATGTAGGATCAAGATGAACTTGTCCCAAAACTGCAACTTCACTAGCTTCATTAACTATAGGTTTTTCAATTTCTCGTTTTTTATTGGCTACGTTCCCTGTCTCTTGAAATTTTTTTACTAACTCTAGAACATACTTCCTCCTGACATGTCGATCTTGATGTTGTTCATTAAATAGCTGAGCTGTTCTATTCGCACATTTATTGTTCATAAAGTAAAGCGAAATGATATCTACCCTTTCCGCAATGGAATAAACCATAGTGTTTAATTTTCAAAAACACAATTAAATAAACTACCAACCAACGCTTCCAAATAATACTAGAAAATAATTTGGAATCCACTAATTTTACGTTCATTGTGTGTGTATAGCATTCATTTCTGTTTTTTACAATTGTTTTTTTTTACGAAAGTGATAACAAATCGCCAAAAACCAATGTAACGCAAGAAATACTAAATTTATACCATTGGCGTACTTAACTCGAATGACTGACATTTTTACCGTTACTAATTGTTTGTACATAAGTTTCAACTTTAAAATCAAAATTCTTAATAAGTATTGGGCGGAATTATAAAATTTAAAGTCTGTTGTAAAGAGAATTGTAAGAGTTTTCAAAAGAAATATTACTCAACCCCCAATGCCATTTAAATATTTTGGGGTGATGCTTACCCTTGCTTGAGGGTGAAAGTGGCGAAGTCAAAAATACCAGCAAAGATTGTCCCCCTTTAATCTAAAATCGACGGGTTTGAGCGTTTTTCTACAATCTTGACGCAGTTCCAGAAAATGGCTCTCTTTCGTTTTCATTTGGCCACTCTGTATGTAAGTAAAATAGATTTAAGCATATTCACGTTTTGCTAATACAGCATAATTTCTGAAACAGAGGTCCACCCGACTGAATTATGAATTTTAACGAATATACTCGCATAAATTTCAATTTAATAGAGGAGAACAACTTTTGAACTAGTTGTCACATCGTCGGTTTAGACTTTTTGATCGTTCTCTTCACCAGAAAAACTTACCTCAATTTCAGTTCCAGAAAAACAAGCAGGTGCGTTTTCTTTTAGGCTTAAGAACGCTCGCGCCGTAGAAGTGGAACTGATTTTTGCGGTTCCTGGCAAATGAGGAAAGGCGACTACTTTAACCGTCTGATTATTCAAATCTAAAGTTTTGTCTCGAAATAGGTCTGTATCTGAAAAGTGTGTACAAGAGAAAATATATAAAACAGCTGTTACTTACATAAGTACGTATATATTCATTTAACGTAAAGCTAGTGGCTGCTGGTAGAAATTAAATTTCCATAATTTTTTAATAAAAAATCCGGACCTACCCTTTCTAAACTTTGAATGCGTCCATATATCCAGCCTTTTTGGTACTAGCACTCTATGTATCTGCGAAGGAAACGGTACGGTTGACAGTTCGAACCAAGGCGATCTTTTTTTGCCGTTCGCTGTACTTTTGCCTTCAAATCTTCTGATGAAAACGACATTGATTATTTTCCGCCACAGATAAAACAGTTTCTCTTCGAACAATCGGTCGTCGTAGAGAAATATGTACTTCGCTAAAGAATTTAGTATTCGGAATCTAAAAGTAATACATTTGGAAGAAAGACTGCAATAATAATGACAAACTATGTAAAAGTTAACTGAAATTTCCCGTTTTGAAGAGCAATATGTTGGACACAATTAAAATTATCGACTGTTAGAAATTGCAATAGCTGGCCAGTTAAAGAGTGAATTTAACACAGCACAATAGCTTTATAAATAATGACCCCATTCATTATGAAAAGCATCTATAAAAAAGGCAGAGAAGCATTATGTGAAGCAAACAAGAAAGAAAATATTTAGTAACAATGAAAGTAAGTGAAATTGAATAAAAGTAAATACCCGCCATTGTAGCTTAACATTTTTAATGAAAATCCCATTATATTATGAAAAAAGCGTAGTACAATGAAGGAATTGAACTACGAAAAAAACACGACGTTAAAGATCATATTTGAAGGGGAGATTATAAAGAAATGATGAAAAGATATTTGCATTAAAATTCATGTTATTTCTTAACTCTGACCTTTTTTGCTATCTCAGAACTGCAGTTTCCAAATCTAATAATTGTTAAATTGTTTTAGATTTATTAAATTTATCCGAAAACTTATATTACGCATACTTACCTATCTCCAAAGCGCAATAACCTTGCTACTTGTATCCCGTTAGCAACTAATGTGATGTATAATTGACAACCCACTTTTTTCGCTGTGAGCAGGGACTCTTGGGTGTGACTGTAGGGAGATAATAAGTCCTCTGATTCTTCCACGTAAATCTAGTAAGAAATATTTGGTTTTGTTATCTTTAAATACACATAACCTCCATTTAATTTTTTTATGAGAAAAACGTAAGTAAACTCTAAAAAGTATCGTTAATGACATTACAAACCATTATAAAAGATATCTCAGTACCAAATCTCGTGTACCAGGACTTTGCAAATACTTCATTATACAGCGGATCAGCTATGACAACTACACATTCGTAAGGTTCTAAAGATTTAATCATTATCTCTTGAATAAGTAATTGCAAATCTCCTTCTGTCCACATTAAGTCAGTTTCGACCCTAAAATTGCGAGTTTATATAAATGTTCATTATTCGAGTTTGATTTAAATAAAGTTTTGCTTACTTAAACAAATGACAGTACCTATGTACTTTTACAAATATATTAATGACCATTTTCTGTACGAATATTGTCAAATTAAACTTTTTTTTACTCTAGTACATCAACTTTAAAATATTTCACAGTACATATATCCGTTAAACACCAGAGATGGAGTTTTGAGAAATATCTATCTTACAAAGGGCCGTAGGTTTATATGTGCTAATAGATAAAATGAGATTTATACTTTTATTTCGGTACAGCTAAAAGATAAAATAAAATTATTGTTTTTCCTCCTGTATGCGAAAAAATAAATGTAGGCGGTAATAAATTTGGTTCTGTATCCAATTTAAATATATTTTAACAATATTTTAAACATAATTGTTCATTCATATGTCCATATACAGGTTGTGTTACGATGACGGCCCATTAGAATATTTCAGAGACTACTTCGATTTGAATTTTCAAAGAGCCCAAGGGTTTTCACCACCAAGACTTCAGTACCTGTATGTTTTCAGCCACGAAAATTGATTAATTCCAAATATTTCGAATTTTTAACATTAAGGCGATGTTTCGCATCGTATTAGCTATGTCCTGTACAAATTTAGTTTCGTGCAACTCTCTAGGTTTCAAAAATACAATACCTATGTACGTTTTCAGCCACGAAATTTGAATAATTCCAAATATTTCGAATTTTCACCACCAAGAACGGCGTTGACAACATTTTTAACAGTGAAGCGATGTCCTGTCCGCCCCGTCTGTTGATTGTCGCGGATAACGCGCCTTACCATATTCGACGAATAGAAAAATTACCGATATCTGCATGAAGCAAAGGTGAAATCATGGAAATTTACACTTACCTACTTTCTGAAAACTCAAGACACACATTTGCCATGGTAAATAATACACACAACAGACGTGTACCGTCCATTTCTAGAATAAAATGAGTTTTTTTCTAAGAAGAGCGATCGGACAGCGCCATATCATTGCATATGTAAATTAACCATTAATATTAAATCCGGTTAGGTAGGTGAAAAGGGAGGTCCTGTGATTTTATAACGGTCTATTAATCCGATCACGATTCGAAAAAGGAACACTTCACCGATTCCTCCACTGAATCGTTGACCCTCATTAAACTGACAAAGGACTCTCCTTTTAGTTCCTTATTCAATCTACATAATTCGCATTTTGCTAGGTGAATTTTTCATTCGATCTGGTAATTGGGTTATTAAGGATGCAGACTGCTGGTTGTTTTTTTCGGTTGCACATAATTATCTGCTAAACGTCGGCACATTTTCAGCTTAGCTGTCACGCGATTTCGGCTCATTGGACATGTCGCATCTTGGAAGATAAGGTACATTTATAGGTTTAAGGGTTTATTTGTATTTAGCTAGGTTCTAATAGAACGTCCTAAATTGGTACAATAATATTTTAATCAAATCGTGATTAATGTGTATAATAAATGTTAAATAATAAAATATCTCTGTAATATTCGTGATATTAATGTTCAATAGTTTTAACGTACGAATAACAATTTTTCTAGTTGTTTTAACAAGACTCCTAACTGCTGATATTGCAGGAAACAACTGCTGGATTGGCTACATGCCCAATTAAACATATGTTTAAATACAGGGTGTCTCATAATTAGCGGCCAACCCTGAACAGGCCGATTCTATGATCAAAACTAAGTAAAAAAGTTCATATGAACATGGGTCCGGAAATGCTTCCTAAGGGCACAGGGACCCATTGAAGAGGGAGGAATGGAAATCATTTTTTTGCAATATCTCTCAATCGCGTTGTGATAAATGAATGAAATTTGGTATACACAGCTAAATTTTGATGAGCAATTTGATGGACTAATCCATTTATTTCCACAAGGTCCATTGGGGTGGGTACGGGGGGGCCCTTGGTACTTTGCGTGTGTAACTTTTTCATCTTTGACTTTTTAACAAATTGGACAGCAAATTCCGTTTTCCCGAACTGTTTTACGTTAAAAAGGTACTCTTGTTTCAAATCGTTATCTTTAACGGTTTCTGAGAAAATCGCTCTTGAATTAATCCCACTTTGGTCAATTTCATAGTAATTTAAACAAAAAAAATTTTTTTGTTTAAATTTAATCTAATTTTAATAAAAAAATAATAATAAAAAATTAAATTAAATAAAAATTAATCCTTTAAATGGAAAAGAGAGGAAAGGAAAATTATTATTATTTTTTTTTGTTTAAATTACTATGAAATTGACCAAAGTGGGATTAATTCAAGAGCGATTTTCTCAGAAACCGTTAAAGATAACGATTTGAAACAAGAGTACCTTTTTAACGTAAAACAGTTCGGGAAAACGGAATTTGCTGTCCAATTTGTTAAAAAGTCAAAGATGAAAAAGTTACACACGCAAAGTACCAAGGGCCCCCCCGTACCCACCCCAATGGACCTTGTGGAAATAAATGGATTAGTCCATCAAATTGCTCATCAAAATTTAGCTGTGTATACCAAATTTCATTCATTTATCACAACGCGATTGAGAGATATTGCAAAAAAATGATTTCCATTCCTCCCTCTTCAATGGGTCCCTGTGCCCTTAGGAAGCATTTCCGGACCCATGTTTATATGAACTTTTTTACTTAGTTTTGATCATAGAATCGGCCTGTTCAGGGTTGACAGCTAATTAAGAGACACCCTGTATAGAGTGGAAAAGCAGTTTTTCCAGCTACTATCATTTAGAGATCCACTGCACTAGCATTTGTTTGAGATGTATTATTACGTTTTAAAGCACTATTTGATGTACTGAATAGGTTTGAAATCTGTATATTAAAAAACCACCGAGATAAGGACCCTATTTTTTTTGTTTTTTTGTGAATAACTTTTTTATTTTGCAACCTAAAAATTTAAAATTTACAAAGACGTGACATAATATATTTACCTTTCGATCCTTTTTTTACAGAATTTCTATATCTTGACTTGGGCAGAAGATATACGCGCTCGCATTTTCGACTAAAAGTTATATTTTCCTGTAGTTTCATCCGATTTCAGTCAAATTCGTTCTTTTTATTTAATACTGAAAATTTTGCACAGTTTTTTCCAAACCAAAATTAAGCTCTGTCGGAGTTTTCGTTATTTGACCACTATTTTTATGACCAATTTGACTGAACTAAAATACACAAATTTAGGCATTTATTCTGTGTATTTTTTACTTAATTTTAAGCCCATAAAATTCGAGTTAGGCCCGATTTTTGAAACAGGCATGTGTTTGGTCTTATTCGCCCGGATTATGAGTGTCGTTTGTACATGTGTTATAATCTCTTTTAAATATAATTTTTGAAACTGGTTTTAGAGGAATCTCATCTATTTATTTTCACATCAGAAACAATTTGCTTGAAAATTCGTTCCCAGAAAAAGATTATACCAACGCACTCTATATAAACTTTTGGTAATTGAATTTTACGATGGCGGTAACTGAACCCAGGTCGACGCAGATAGTTAATCTCTTAAATCTATGAATGTACTTTAGCAGTCACATGCAGTGGGTGAATTTTTAAATTTTATTTTGAATGAATTTGAATTTTATTTTGAGTGAATTGTAAGAACGGTTTTTATATTTTATCTCACTTTCCAACAGGTCACTTTACTACTGAAATCCTGTCGTATTCGATCTTCATAACTGGGAGGTCAGACAACGTTTGTGATAATCGCAGATAATTTTTTATTTATGAAAGGAATTAGGTCTAGGAACTTTAGTGATGAACACGTTTCTAAAAATAATTTATTAAAAAATATATTTTTTATCTAAAATACAATAAATAGTAAACTGCATTAAAATATATGTAAATTCAATCCAATAAAATATACATCTATAACTCGTTGTGGATACTATTTTGATTGGTATTGGTGTTAATGTCGACATCCTCGAACCATTTCTTGTAAACATTGATGGGATCTATCATCCAGTGTTTATGAAAAGAGACGGCGGTTTGAGCTTCCAGGTATCCGGGTGCATAGTCGTTTGGTCGAGCCTGTAATTTATTGAGTTAGCTACTGCCAATGCCTTAACCTTAACATGCAATATAATTCCATTATAAATCCATAATTTGGATTTGAAAAAATTATTTTCAACTAGAACCGGGTCATTTTCCTATTTTTTCTCAGACAAGTGGTTCTACAAATGTATTCCTATGTGAGTCGGAAAAATATCGGTTGAAAACGTATAGTGATTCTACAAGGAAAAACTGGAGCTTGTATATTTGCTCTATTTTAAAGACTAATCAAATGAATTCAATAAATTTTCATAAAATTATATCCAATGAAGTCAATGTTCTTTGAATCAAAGCAAAAATCTGCCGCAATGCTTGGAATGAACTTAGAGCAAATATTAGGCAAGAGATTTTGTAGACCGGGGCGGATCTGTTTTGGGGTGGATGTGAGAGGGGGCAAGCAAATTTTTTCTGGAGTACCTTCACTACATCTACACGTAAAAGTGTAGATCCCCAGATCTGGGCGAGGTCCGGAACATTTTCAAAATTGCAAAAATGTTTAAAACATTTTTTAAAATACCTGTTTTATCGGAGTTTTTTTACTTATATCTTGGAACCAATGCATTTTGGAAGAATATTGAAGAGGAAAAAAAGTTGTAATTGTTTTAAAATATTTTAATTGCTCCGAGGGCTTTCTAATTTTTGTAAATAAAATCTTTAGAGTTAATAAAACAACACACCAAATTTCATTAAAATCGGTTTGATAGTTTTCGCAAAATAATATTTTGTAAATAATTTTGAAAAAAATTTTTCGAATTTTCAAAATGTTGCACAGCGTCAAATAAAGCATCTAGATATTTGAAAATTTTTTCACCGCTCAACCTTTCAAATGGTTTTTGAAAAGCTGTAAAATTTTAAAGTTAATTCTTTTTTTATTTTTTAACAATTAGATTACATTTATCCATTTGCAATTTAATTTTTTTCAAAAATCATAATTTTAAAGTCTATTTTTTCTTAATTGTATCTATATTTAACAAAAAAAATTAATTTCCAAATATTTTTTTT